AATTGCTGTTTTCCAGGCTCGGCTCAAACTTGTGATCCTCCTGCCTTCATCTCCCAGAGTGCTGGGCTTGCAGATGTGCACCCCACTCCCAGCTCTCACTTTGTGATTATTCCAAATAATGTTGCTATGAACTCTGTGTGTAAATGTCTCTTTGAAGTTCTGTTTCTGTGTTTTTAATGTTTAATAGCACAATAAAGACAAAAGAAAATGAACATTGAATAAAATGAATAAACAAATGAAAAATTCTACCTGAAGCTCTCATATGGCGGATTGAAAACATAGATAGTTTAATAATCAGGCTGATGAGGAAAGCAGCCCTGCAGCGTGGTAAGTGGTTATCTGTAAGCCTACAGTCTGGCAGCTGACAATCTCAGGGGTAGTCTGGAGAGGCCCTATCTAGTTCCCCCTGAACTCGCCCATCTGGCTCCATTCTTGGCTCCTTGCTGTAGGTTCTGCACTCAGCTGCAGCATATGTGGAATTGCCCTTATGATAAATTGAGCCAAAAGAGGAAGTCTTGTATCCAAGTCATAACAACAGCCACCACCAGCTGTGCTCCAGAGGCCTAGCCGGGAACTTCTCAGCCTTCAGCTTCCCTGTCTCCTGGAGCTGCCAGGAGAGAGGCTTGGCTGGTCACCAGCGCCCAGTCCTCCCCCTGGGCTTTGAGGGAGAGCTGGGTGGAAGTGTGTTTCCCCGCCTTGCTGTCTGGAGCTGGCTGTATGCAGATCTCCTTCACATACAGGCCATATGTACCCCTCTATCTGAGGGGCACAGGGAGAAGGGGTGCTCCTCAGTGGTCCGAGAGGTCCTTAAAGGGAGGTTCTCATGGTTGTTGCTCTTGGGATGCCTTGGGCACAATGTGGGGCTGCCTTGTCTCACTGGCAGGGGTCACTCCCTGGTAGGCTATGAGCTGCATGGCCATGCCATGGTTGGTTCCTGGGACCAACAAGGAGGAGTGAGACAGTGGAAACTGACCCTGGACTCAATCCTTTTGTGGAAAGAGCCTCAGAGCCTTGTTGCCTCCCTGTTCCGCACTGCATTCTCAGGAGTTCTGACTGACGGCCCCCTGCTTACTGAGTAGAGAGACAGGCCAGAGGGAGCAGGGTGTGGCTCAGTCCTTGTCTTTGTCCCACAGGCCACATTCTCTGGCTCAGGGCAAGGGCTCCCTGTGCTTACAGCCTCACGTCAGATCAAACAGGGCCCTGGTATCATCTGGTTCAAGCTGTTCACTTTCTAGTTTTAACTGAGGCAGACATGTGAAATGGCCAGGCTCAGGCTACAAAGTGAATAAAAGCTGATCAGCAGTATGATTCAGAAGTTTCTTTCTTCCAGCCTGCAGGATTCCCCCTGAAGGGTGAAGCTCTTGGTATAGTCCTCAGTGAGCTGTCCCAAGTGTGATGAATGCAAGCATTATTCAGGAACAAGGATATCACCAGGGCCTACATTATATGTGTAGCTTATGTAGGAGATGGGAATTTAATTTTGGACAGTTTACAAAATGTTGCTTCCTGAAATCTCTCTGGGATTAAGTTTTTGAAGGATTCTCTTGAGAGAGATGCTCCATATTCTCAGATTCTATCTATTCCCTTGAGCTGAGTGAAGGTTCTGTTTCCTGCACACCAAGTCATGTTGCTTTTCTGAGATGTCAGATCTATAGACCTAAAGTTCTTTTTTATATTTGTCTTCTCTTTCCTTTTTGATTGGCTTCTTCAGACTTGAATGCGTTTGACCCATCCTGGAGAAGACAGATCCTACCTCTCCATGTAACACAGAACTCCTCACCCAAGAGCCTAGACATTTGGCCATTCCCCTATTGTCACTCTTGGAGCTTCTTCTGTATTCCAGAAGAGTCCCATTACTTCTCAGTCCTGGGAACACTTTAAGGCGCAGAAATGGAGATGGGGGAGGGACAGGAGGAAGGAGGCCGAAGAAGGAGAGAAGGAGAGAAAGAAGAGAAGAAAAGAGAGAAAAAAGAGAAGAGAGAAGCTCTTGTTTCTAGGCCTGACTCTGAAACATCTTCCTTACGCAGAATCACAACTCTGCCTCCCAGGGTGCTCTTGGGGTCAACTCAGTTCACAAATGTTGTTTATAAATGAAGCGTAGAAACTGGGCAGTCAGGTGGCACACTGGTATGTCTGAGGCTGTATTCTGAGGACAGGTCTTTGGGGTGAGCCGTCGTGAGTGGGGTTATGAGCTGGTTTGCTACCATGTGGTATTTGAGCAAACTGGAGCTGAGGCGAATTTGCCAGCATCAGTTGCCTTCCTCCGTGGAGCGACACAAGTCTAAGGAGGTCACCGCGTGGGTCAGGCAGGTGCTTTCCTTGCTCGGCAATACTTCCTCATCCTGGTCTTCCCAGCCATGTCTGGGAGGGTGCTGCTGAGGTGGTGGATGTTGGAGGGCAGACTAGAAGGCACCGCAGACATTACCTGGATCAGTGGTCGTTAGCAGAAGAAACTTCCACTGAACAGAGACTTCTAGAGAAGCTGAATCAGCCAGTCTGGATGCCCCTTTGACTACCTCAGGGTCACCTGCTTTAGTTTTGGGATGTTACAAGGGCATACTCTGGCCAGGCTAGGGATGCTGGAGTCTGACTTGCACTAGAGAGGCAAGGACAAAATGTCCTTGCCAGGCAGTTCTTAAATGTGCTCCACATCTCTCACGGGCCCCAGCAGGGTGAGTCCTACCATCTCTCAGAGTCACACCCTCATGAATACACCCCAAAGTGGTTTTCTCCCCCATTTTTATCTCTCTTCTCCACTCCATCACTGTGCTCTTCAAGATCACCTCTCAAATAGCCTAACGGCACCCAAATCTCTGTCTGGGAGTGCATAAAAGAACAACATTCTGTGCCTTTAGAGTCTCCTGGGTCTTAGGGAAACTCAGGAATCGTGCATTTGCCCAGCTTAGGAAATGTGGGTCTAGTCTGTCTGCAAGAGAGAGCTGGTCAACCACTACTTGAGTGTCACTTATTATTCTATCTCCCCATCTCAAGATGCCTCTGTGCTGCACATAGTAAGATCATGACTCTCTTAGTTATAAGTAGTTCATTATATAATCTGGTTTAAGCCAAAAAGAGAATGCATAGACTCATAAAAAGTTTGAGAGTTGAGCCTGCACTATCGCTGGCCCAAATGGCATGTTGGTGCAAATTAGAAAAATGCGTGTTCCTCCAGGGGCTATACTGCCATCTGCCAGAAAACTGCTGTAGTAAACTAACAAATCTGAATGAGTGTGAGACCAAAGGGTGCCCTGGGAATGATGCAGTGCACAGTCAGGGAATCTGCAATCTTAAGAGCTGGCTTAGCCTGGGTCCAGAGTGTATGCTCTCTCTCCGTCTCTCAGAAATGCCTTCTCTGGGGTTCATTCTCAAGTAGGCTCTATCTTCCTAGGAACAAGGGAGCTGGCAGGAGTTTCAAGCCTATCTCCTAAAAGATCATGGCCACTTGTTTAAACTATTTGGCCAAAGTTCAGGAATTAGGTCTTATTTGCTCTGATTGACCAGTCAGAGTACCCAAGGTGATGCCACACTCTGATTGTGGTCACACATCATTTTGCGATTAAGGGAACAGGTTGGCACCCGAACACCAGCCCCATCACTGAGAATGGGAGGAAGGATGTTTCCCTGAGACAAACCAAGGGAGGAATTAGAAGAACCATCAGATGTGGCTGCTGAGCAGGGCCTCACCCCACTAAAAGCATCCCAATCTTAGCAGTGCTACTGAAAATTTAGTGTGCGTACAAGTCACTGGGGATGTCATTAGATAGGGACTCCTAGGGATTTCACTTAAAATAGTATCTTTTAGAGAATCTAGGGTGAGACCGATGAATTCGCATCCCTAAGAAAGCTGAATTCCATGCAGAATTTGTATTACACTGTGCTACTGTGGCCAGTGATCACCTCTCTCTCTCCCCACTCCTCTCTCTGTCTCTGTCTCTCTTTTCAGCACTAATACTGGGGGTTGAACCGGAGTTTTCATACAGAGCTATAGCCCAAGCTTTTGAACTTTTTTCTTGAGGCAGAGTCTTGCTGAGTCACTAATTTGCCCAAGCTGAACTCAAACCTTTAATTCCCTGCATTAGTCTCCCAGAGAGCTGGGATGATAGACACCTGCCACTGTGCGTGGTGATCATCAAAAGTCTGAGATGCTGCCAGGCCCTGAAGCAATGTGTGCTTAAGGCAGGGTTCTCTGGGGTATTAGAAGGAGAGGATTTGGAGAAGTTTTCTCAGATCTATGTTCCTGGAAATACCATCTTGTCTGTGTACCAGAAGATGATGGGACATGGCTGGGGGATGCTTGTGCGGGTTCCTCAAATCTTCTACACTTGGGTTTCCTCCAAGTCCCTCAGGAAAGGTGTCTTTCTCCTGTGGAGCCTTCCCAGGAAGGAAGGGGACTTCAACAAAGGACCCAGGGCCAGAGGGGACACATCAAATGATTTGTCCTTCAAGAAGCATGGTGAATTTTGAGAGTGGAAGCAGTGTCTTTTGTCCATCAAAGGGCTGGTTTTGGTGGTGGTGCTGGTGGTAGTGAGGTAAACTGTAAAGAAGCTTGAAGCAGACAGTGTCCTGGAATTATCATATGCGAGGAAGGCTCCTTGCAAGCAACATCCAGGAGCCCTAAGGACTGACTGCTGAAACAGGAGCTCGCAGAGGAGAGGTCTGACTGGCCCTAAAGCTGCTCACATAGATAACTCAAATCCTGTCTTACCTACAATGCAAGCAAATCCAGTGAAGCCTGGTAGAAGTACAGTAAAGATGAATGCAATTTAACATTATCTAGAAATCAGATTCCAAAAGTAAAACAAACAAATAAACACCATTAAACTTGATTTTAATGTTTTATTAATGCAGTATTCCTAAAATATTATCATTTTGACATATGCTCACTTAAAAAAAATCATTGCTGAGATATTTTATATTCTTTTTTCCCATACAAAATGTTCGAAATCTGATGGGCCTCTTACAATACTGCCCACTTTTTAAGTGCTCAGTAGCCACGACACTGGCTGGGGAATTGGATGCTACATCTTCAGTCTCCCTCAAACAAAGCCATCCCTCTCTCATCCACATTTTACTCCGCTTTCGGCACACTGTGGGTGTCACTTGGATGTTGTTCAGAGACAGCAGCAGGCCTGACTGAGGCTTCACTGAAAGGGCCGCGGCGGCTGTGAAGGCTCAGGACAAAGTGTGGCCGCAGGCTTGTTTGGGGACAAGCGCTCTTCCGCCTGGCTGCTCTGTGCAGTGTGCGAGTCACCATGGGGACAGGGAGGTAGGATAAAGGGTTTCGATCTGTGCTGAGGCCTGTTCATGGGCTTTGTTGTGGTGGTGCGAGGGAGGGACCGACAGCAGAGAATGGGGTGGAGCCGGAATGTGGATGTGTCTGGAGCCACAAAAATAGATCTGTATCTGTGGAGTGGTTACCATGACTCAAAATACTGTTTCCCTGTGGAGGGAGGAACAGGTCAGGGGGATGTTACAGAGCTGCATGCTTTTACCATTAGAATATTCGGGAAAGAGAATGAAGGGCAAGGCTGTCAGTAACGTCAGGAGCTGGGATTCTTTTTCACATTGGATCCTAGCGTCATCTCAGTTTTCCAGGGCTTTGTCTGAAAGCCACTTTTCTTTCCATGTGTCACACATCTGTTTTCTGTCCTTTCTGTTCAATTTGAACATTAAGCAAATTTTCTCATGCACAAACTTCCATTGCCTTTGGAAGTGCACAGATGAGTTACCTTTGAAAAGCTGTGGTGAGATTCTAGGTAGGATGTGGCCGTGGAGGTGCCTTCCCTCGAGCAGCCCCAGGTCAGGCTGGCTTTTGCTCCATTCTGTTACTTGCTTAGCCTCCACTAAGTTATTTAACCTCCTTGTGCCTCAGTTTTCCCTTCTGTCACATGTGACTTATGGCAGTGCTTACCTTACTAGGCTGTTGGGAGAAGGCGGTAATAAATGTATGTATCATGTTTAACACACTGCCTGGCACGGGTTATGGTGACAATTGTGTCACAGGCGTTGCCAGCTGTTTCTGCTCTGTGCTAGGTGCTGCCCTTGAGGCCCGTAGCTGGCCAGGTGGCGTCCATTCCTTAACAAACTACCCTCGTTTAGACCTCACAGTGTGTCATGGCAGCCATGGAAGATGACACACAGAGAACAGTTACTGGCCACAGCTACTTAGGGAGTCAATGACAGAACTTGACACAAAACCCAGAATGTCTTTCCCAACAGTAATTTGGCACAATCTTCTGGGACTCAGAACCACTGTTTTAAATTTCAGAAAGCATGCAGGGGAATCAGAGGAAATGGGATTCGAATATGTAGCTACTGAGAAAATATAGTTACCCATTATAAAAGCAACAAAAACAATCCTCAAAAGCAAGTACACAAGAGTCCATGGAATGAGCTAATACAGAGTCACTAAAAATATGAACAGCGAATACTGATTTGTCATGGGAACATGCTCTTGCTTTATGTCAAGTGGGAAAATCAGAAAATAGAACTGCATATAATTTAATTTCATAAGTTAAAAACTACCTCTCCTTCTATGTGTCTATCTAGGTTGAATACTCCGAGCTAGATATTTTACCTCATTGGATAATAGTTGTTTTCTTGAAGCCATGTTGGGAGTATTTTCTACAGTGAACACTCATTACTTTCATAATCAGAAGAAAAAAGCAATGCAGATTATAAAAGATTTCCAGTCTCCAGCTCACACCAGGGAGCCGGCGGCTCATTGTCATCTGTTTCAGCCTTGCAGGGCTCTGAGTGCCTTCAAAGCCTGTTATGTTTACAAAAGGATGATTATGTGGGTGTCCAGGGAGATGGGCTGCTAGAGAACAAAGTGAGACATGTTTTATTGAAGACGCTAACCAGACTGACGACACCCTCCCAACTGCCTGTTACTGCTGTAGTATGTGGAGTCGATGGCGAGCTGGAGTGTTAGTACGCTCAGTGCCGGAGGACCACAGTCTTCTTTATCTCCATGGGGAAGAGTCAGAAATAAAGTCCATCATGACTGTGATTTTTATTTAGCTAGGGATTGCTTAACTCCATGAATCAGGAGTCTGATGAGGGCGTTGGTAGGGGTCGCCTCTCTCACATCCCACTGACATTCTGACCACTCCATCTCCACATCACATGCAGGCTGTGCCTGCCCTCTCCAGGCCCAAGAATCTTGCCCATGGCTTTCTTCCCAAACTGCCCACTCTGTGTTGCTGCCCTAATTGAAGGTCTCTGGCTTCAGGTCCAGTTGTTCCCTCTGCCCAGCTGCTTGGATCTTTTTGTTGTATTTATTGTATCTGACCGACCTCTGACCCTTTGCTAATTTCTTGGGTCTCTGCCCCACAGCTTTGGTGCAGCCCACTTCACTCCTCTCCCATGTCCAGCCTCAGCCCCTGGAGCTCCACACCTGGGTTCAAACCTCCGTGCTCCTGTGCTGCACGCACACAGGAGATGTCTGACACTCCTGGCTTTGCTCTGTGCCCCACCACAGAATTTCTGTAGTCTTTACAAGATCTTGATGGTCATTTTACCATCATCAATGAGATGGACCTCAACAGGACAAGACAACCCTACCCCCACTCTGTGACATTTCTTCCACTGTTTCTGTGTAAGACTTTGGACAAGTTTCCTGACCTGTCTCAGCCCTCTGCTTCCTCACTGGAAATGGTGATCATGGTAGCTACCCAATAAGGTTATTATTCTAAGTTATGTCCAACTTATCTGACACATAACTAGCACTCCATAAATGTCAGTTATTAGGAATATCATTATTCCCTTATTATTAAAGCAGTCCAGCATGCCCTGTAGTAGGAGGATAGACTCTGGAGGCAGACTGACTTGGTTAAACTGGTCTTCTGACCATGAGCAGCTGTGGCCTACTTGTATGCTTCAGTTTTTCTTCTGTAAAGTGGGATAATAAAGAGTATTATCTGTAGGACTTGCTGCAGAGACTAAATAAAATATGGATAGAGGCGCATTTGCAAAATGCATGGTATGTAATGACCATTGGTATGTAATGACTGCTGTCTATATTACTAATGATGGACAACTTTTTCTTGGAAGTTTGGATTTATGAAATTATTCTTACTTATCATTACTTTTATAGTAGTACAGAGTGACATCTGAACTCTAAAGTAGACCAAGCTTTCATGGTTGTGCTGAAGAATCATAATAACACTGTAAGAGCAAGATTGGGCACAGGATTGGCAAGCTGGATTTTCCCTCTGTCCAAAAGAATGAATTTTTAGAACCCAGATTCCATTTGTCCTGAGTACCTGTGAGCTGAAATCAAGGGCCTCTGGATGTGTGACTCTCTCAGCCCTCACCAATGTGTTTGGAAGCACACACATGGATCAAAATTTTAAAGATCACAACTCTTTTCTTCATAGGATGTAGAAAAGTAAAAGCTGAGGGTCCTTTCAGAAAATGATTCAAAGTATCTTAAGAATCATTGGATACAGGAAAATATGACTTCATGGAGTCAGTGGGGGAGGGCTAGTCACCTGATGTCTCCAGAAATCAGCTTTTTACATCATCGCCAACCCTCCCTAGCATAGAAATTGTTCTGCAGCTCAAGTAACAAATTCCTCCGCTGGCAGGAAGCATGTTTTATGAGCATTAAACCTTGTCATCACTAACATCAGCCACACATGATTCTCCTTTCCTGGCTGTCTTTGTAGTGAACTTGACCTGTTAGGAAACATCATCCCTGAACTTGAGATTTGCCAAAACAAGTCACTCATGTGCTAATGTAATAAGGAATAGATTTGTATGTTAGACAGAGCTTTCATATCAGATATTCAAAAGATTTTTCTATGCACTAGCTCATTAATGATATCTGGGCTTTATTAACCAGGCAATTAACACTTTTTTTTTCTACAAAAAGTAGTGTTAGGATCCAGGAGCTAGGGCTTAGCTCTGGGTATGTCAGGGGAGAGTCAGCTGTCAAACTGAGGCTTCTGTTTTCAAACCTAGGTCTTATGGCTACATCATCCCACACACAACACCTATAATTGGTTTATGCCTCCAATCCTGACCTGATGAGCTACTGGTATGTGATTCAATTGAGATTATTAAAAAGTAAGAAAAATGTAAACAGAACAAAAACACACTCAGTGGTTATCCTCAACTACAGAGTAGTTTGATTAATAGAGACTGTTAAATAAAAGTAGAAAGATATGCTTTAAAAATATATATGTATAAAATCCATGTGCAAATGCAAGTCAGTGTTTTGTGTCTTTCACAAGGACAATGGCCAGACAGTGTTGGGTAAATTGTCATGCATGGCTAATGCTGTAGTGGTCACAGTAAATGGCAAACCAGTCAGTCTAAACATGAGCAAGTCTTTCTCCTTACACTGTATGGTGTTTATGCATTGGCACAAGTGCTTGTTGAAAAAAGACTCCCAGACTCCATCCCCAGAGGCTGAGATCCAGCAGGTCTTGGATGGGTCTGGGAATCTTCATTTTTATCAGGCAGTTTTGATGCAGATGGTGTGTGGATGGTGCTCTGAGAAATAGTTGACTTATGAATACTGTCAATTATAAAGCTAATTAGAACACTACAAGTGGGAAGACTAATAATCCCCAAAATATGTTGTATAACGGTCTATGACAAAAGCAGTATATAAAAGAATGATTAAAAAAAAAACTTGCAAGTAATAGCTGGGCAGGCCAGCACATGCTTGGATTCCAGCTACTCGGGAAGCTGAGGTAGGAGGATTTATGTTTAAGGCCATCCTGGGCTGCAAAATAAGAAAAGAAAAAGAGAAGAGAGGAAAAGAAAAGGCAAGCTGTAGCTGGAGATGTAGACCCATGAGATGTAGATGTGTGGTAACATGTCCCTGAATTTAATTCTCATGTCACAAAACAAACAAAAAACCAAGCAAAACTGAGAAATGAACAAACAAAAAGTTAATTAGAACAGAATCCTTGCAGATAAGTGTTGGAAAGGGCTAGCTAGCCCTTCAAGAGACATGAAAGTAAACTCAAAGCTAGCTAGTTTACTTAATATATATTAAGCAATGCCTTGAATATTAGTATATATCAGTATCTGGTTAATTGCATATGAGAATCATAGGGGACCTCAATTCTTGAGATCAACTGAGCAGATCTGGACAGGTTTAATTATATAGTTGTTCGGATGATTCTGAGCACAAGAAAAGCTGAGAATCTCTGCGCACACACACACACACACACACACACACACACACACACCACACTTTTAAAAAAGATAAGTGAGGAAAATATAGTAGGGATAAGCAATTTATCTATA